GATCAGCTACTCGACGTTTGGGGCCTAGCAAGAATCACCGGCCTCTTTGGGCCACTCGAACAAATGAGTCAGGCTGGGATGTGTTGCCTGGAGGTTGAAAAGGGGCCTGAAAATGGGCTTGGTGCCCTTTGGCCGGGGGATTCAAGGGCAGAACCGCCAAAACACCCAAAGGAGTTGTGAAAGAGACTCGGCCCGTTGAATGACATGGCTTTGTGGAGATTCCTTTGAAGACCATGGCCTTTGGGGTCCCATGGGGAAGCTCCCGAATGTGATTTTGGGATTCACACATCCCGACTCCCGGATCCCGAACTGCGGAGTGATTCCCTCAGTTTCCCAGAAGGGACACCACGATGCACAAAATCCCTGCAGGGGTGCAATATGAACCTTGGAATCCAGGCCTGTTGGAGCCCGATCTGACGATTGAAACAAATGGCCATTATCCAAGATCTCACGGAGAAATTGCACCGCTCTCACTGCCTAGGCAGTGCAGAATACCTGCACCAACCTATAAATATGGACACCTAAAAGGGTAAAGCAGTTACAACCCAGTTTAAACTGGGGGGGTGTGGAAGATTCGGGCTGGCCAGATTCTAAGGTTCATATTGCACCCCTCAAAACATATTTTGTGCATCCCTGGTAGCTTCCCTTCTGAGAAACTGAGGGAATCGCTCCGCATGTCGGGATTCGGGATTCGCGAATCCCAAATCCCAGTTCCAAAACCGGGATTCGCGATTCGCAGGATTCGGGATTTGTGAGTCGGGATTCCTGAACCCCAAAATCACATTCTGCGGGAGCTTCTCCGGATAGTTGATTGAGGGTTAAAGCCTCGTTTGGCGTCCGCTTGATGAAGAAACCGCCTGCCTGATATGTCACAAGAAATTGGCCAACATGTGTTGTCGTCTTTGCTTGTGTGTTTGACTTTGTGGGTAACATGTCCTGCTGGTTTTCTGTGACGCGAGCTGCTGGGGAAAAACAACAAAAAACCGAGGACAACGTGCAAGGCCCCTCCGGGCGGCACGGGCAGAACGCCTACTTCTGCAGCGCTCCCAACTCGGCCCCTTCAGAGTTGCTCGGCTTCGTTCGGTCGCCCCAAAGCTTTTGACAGTCCCTCATTTGGGTAGCAACCTTTTGGTTTCCCGTTCAAATACCAGAACAAAAGCAGTCCACCTTTCTGAGAAACTCCCATATGCGGGGTGTCTTTTCTGCAGGGCCCCCCTCCCCCAACAAATTGTGGTTTTCCTTTGGTGTCCCTTTAAAACCACTTGAAAAGGGGTACCCTCAAAAAAGACAGACCCACATTTTTTTTAGAGCCTCCTCTATCACCATGGTTTCTTGCAGAATTTGGCAAATTGAAGCCCATCACCTTGCTGAAGTATGGAGCCTTCAGACGCCCCTGGTAGTCTTTAATGGTTCACCGCCTTCAAATGAACACGGAACCCAACGCGGAGAGGGCAAACTTCCAAAGGGAGACTCCTCATATGAAGGATTCCATATGAATCTGCAGAGGCTCGAGTGCGAATTGTGTTTGTTTGGATGCGTGAGGATCGTCAAGTCCTGGTACGACGAGATCCAGAAGTACGACTTCCAGCGGGCGACCTTTGTGTCGGGCACTGGGCATTTCAGCCAGGTGGTGTGGAAAGGACTGTCAGTCACCTTTTGGTTCCTTGATTTGGTCCATAGAAATATAAAGGTTTCAAAGGGGCAACATTGTATTACTATTTGCCCTTTGGGCAAGTGAATGTATGCCTCTAGGCATGTTGCAAGACTTGAAGAAGCCGTTTTGACTTGTTGTTTGTTGTTTTCCTGCATGATGTTCAACCAGCAAACGGTCAGAGGTTTTTGCAATACACCCCTTTTAGAGAGCACATGGATTGGCCTCCCCTCCAGGTTGGTGTGCGTTTGGTTTCACTCCAAATTGGTGGTTGTTGGTTTGGATTTGGTTAACTCCGTGCCGATTAAGTGGAAAGGTACCCCCACCTCCAAACCGCCGAAGAGGATTGGGTGATTAAGAGCGATTTCAATGGTTGCACTCCTCCAGGCAGTCTCCTTTCCCTTCGATTTGCTTAAGAAGACTTGTTGTTTCCAACTTGTTGGTTGTAGAGGGGATCCATCCTTGGACATATGTTTGCATCTTTTCTCTGTTGCCCAGTGGTGCCCTTTTCTCCTCTTTTTTTTTTTGGGGGGGGGGAAGGGTTTTCCTTGAAAGTGAAGCAGCCAAAAAGGATGCCCTTGTTTTGCCATGGCCACTGGGCATCTGAGTTTTCCCAGGCAGGGCGCATGCGCGCATGCCGTTTCTCGCAGGAACCACCCACATGGGCATGGCCGTGTCGGACGACGGCCGGTTCTGCGTGGCCAACTACTTGCCGGCGGGCAACGTCATGGGGCAGTTCAAGGAGAACGTGCTGCCGCGCGGCAGCCCGTATGTGCCGCAGCAGGACCGGGCCCGAGCTTCCAAAGACCCGGTTAAACTAGGTTGGTTGGGGGGGGGGGAACTGGGCTTTACCCATAGTGAGTTGGCAAGGCTTAGCCACCCAGCTCGTCTCGATTCAAGTCATTGGCTGCGATTAGCAGCTTGAGCCTTTACATGGCCGGAACACGGGTACAACTTGGTTTGGCTTCCTTTCGGTTTTCCTGGTGCCATGGATTTCGGAACAGCCCTACGCTCTTAGTGAGCTCCCAGATCACTCACAAACAATGAAGGTCTGATCTATCACCCGGATAAATCATGATAAATCAAGCCCTGTATATTAGGGGGTGTGCCTGGGTTTAGCGGGCAATCACTTCTAGAACACACCCCCCTACTGCTCGGACGGGTTTCTTAATCGGGGTCGACTTTCGCGGAACTCCTTGCAGGAGCAGCCCAAGCCACAGCCGGCCCCAATGCAAATGGGCGGAATGGGCGGAATGGGCGGCATGGGCGGCATGGGCGGCGCGGGCGGCCCCTTTGCTGGGTTCGGCGGCCTCTTCGGCCCCGGGGCTGGTGGGCAGATGGCACCCGCGCCGGCACGGCCGCCCGCAGGCCAAGCGCAGGACGGGAACCCGGGGGGGGGAGGGGGGGGGTTCGGTTGAGAGAATGTAAAAAGTAGTTGCGCTTGAGTCCCTTTAAGTGGTGAATGATACCGGCGCAGGAGGGGTGTTTTTCAGGGCACATATTTGTAATTGTGGTGGCCAAAGCTACAGAAACCATGTGGCAGGTGGTTCTATGGGGGCCCTCTCGCGAGGGCAGCCTGACCCACCCTTCGGTCTTTTTATGCCTCACTCCCCCAGCTTCGGATCCGAAGATCATGTCCGGAAGCGAGAGGCCCATTTCACTCCTTGAGCTCTGTGACTTTCTCCACTTCGGCAGACTGGTTCAGTGGCGGCCGCAACGTTGGGGCATTTTTGGGGGGCCGAGCCGCTCGGCCGAAGCCGCGCTTCAGGGAAGCCCGGGGCTGCCCCCGGACGTGGCCCAGCTCCTGCAGAAGTTCCCCCAGTTCCAGGGGCAGATTCAGCAGGCCATGGGCGGCCCCGGGGAGACCAAGGTCGAGACCAGGAAGAGCGGAGGCATGACACAGGCCGGCTGTGCGAATGAGCCGGGAAGGGATTGGAAGGGTTTTCCAGGCCCGTGGGTTTTTGGAACGGCTGGAGCGTTGGTTTGGGATTGTGGGGGTGGGGTTTGCAGTGGGTCAACGAAGAGGTGGTTCAATCTTTTACGGATCCAAATCCCTGGTTTAGGGTTGAACTTTGACCCGTGTCGTGTCACGCGGCCGAGTTGCATGCAATTGGGCAAGTACTGTGAAGGAAGGTCTGAGACTCAGATGCGTTCCTAGGCTTATGCGGCTGAAGAGCATGTTGCGCCTCAGGTGGTCATCACCAAAAAGGTCACCATGCCTGGCGGAGGCATCTCCACATCCACTTCCAGCTTTAGCTTCCCGGGATGAGCCGCAGTTGTAGAAAATCGGGATTTTAGGACCGGTGATGCCCAGGGAATCTCCAACAGAAAGTGATATAGTCACCTTGGGGTGACCCATGGTATTTTAGAAGTGGTTTTCGACAAACACGGCCGCATTTTGTGCGGCTCTCGCAGAGGCGCGACGGCCTGCATCCAACCCACTCCGCGTGGCGAAGCCGGCGTTGTGCCTGCGAATCGATTCAATGCTTGGATCATCTCATTCCGCAAGTCCTGGACTTTCAGCTTTTTGAGACATATGTTTGAAAGTGGTAAATATTCAGTTTAGACTTCTTTTGGTTAATGTATTTAGGAGGTCAATGAGGAGGGTCCGGCGGTTTTCGTGGCTTGAGAGTTCTCAGACGGTAGTTTTCGTGTGAGCAAAAGCGCGCTCGAGAAAGAAAGATTTCGAGCCTGGAGGTTCTCTGCGCGCCCTTGCCCAAAGACTGATTTGTTCAAAGCCGGCCTTTTGACCTTTTGTTTAACTGAGAAGATACCTTGACCCAAGGTAGCCTTTGTCGGCCATGGTCCAATGATATGACACCCCTCAATCCGCCAATCCATAGATCGCTGGAAGGGCGCTTTCTTTTGTCTTTCCATTTCCAAGAGGTTTTTGGGTAGTTTCGCAGTGGGGAGCCACCTTGAAAACTTTATGCGAATCCCTTCAACCACCCTGCATTCTTAAACCCATCCTCCTAATGGGGGGGATCGGGGTGTCACCCACAAGAGTGAAGGATTCGCACTAAACAAGGACATCTCCTATGAATCAAACAGTTTATGTGGGGATTGAGGATTTGGTTGTCGTGATCCTTTCAGGCAATCCAGAAGGAACTGCGTATATGCCACTAATGCAAGCTTGCTCGGCAGTATATGCCCCTTAAATCAGTTAGACAACCTCCATCTCCATACCAGCAAGAGAGGGGAGGCTTGGTTTGATAAGCGCTTTTCGGTCGTCGGTAAACAAATATGTGTCGTTGGTTGAATTAATTAGTATTTTTTGTCGTCGGTTCGGACCCTTCTCATGCCAGCAAAACTCATACCCGTAGGTTCCCCATACTCTTTTCGGTCGCAGGCAAGCGATGATGTGGACCGCCTGCTGTGTCACCCCCAGCACCGAAATCGATGGGCGAGGGGACCGTCAGATTCAGACTCCAATCCCCACCCAACGAAGGCACAAGGCATGGACGGGGGGCACGGGGCACATTGTCCCTCTGCGGATGTGATGGGAGTCATGTAAGGAGGGTGGGGCTGTTTAGGATCATCTAGACACAGCGCACACTGTAAAGTGGGCGGCCAGGTCGAGGGGGGATGCATGTTGGGACCTTGCTGGAGCTTGCTGTGAGGTTTTCTGGGGATGAGGGCATGCTCTCACTGCCGCCGGGTGCCTAAGACGGGGCTTGGCTTTTTTTTGGTTGTCCGGGTAACTTCCCTAGTCGTTGCCAGGCTAAACCTTGTTTTGGGCTTTTCGGTAACGTCCTGTGACATTTTGAATTTGGCTTCTCTTTAAACCACCTTTTTTTCCCTACCCATGTAAACCTGTGCAAAAGGCAACCACCCCCAAGACGATGGAGTTGTTCACCTAGGAAAGCACACCAGCTCTCTTGCCAGTAGGTGCGCCTCGCCACTAGCACGCTGTGCTGGCGGGAGTTCAGAAAGCTTTGGCTTCTTTTGGCGGCTGAGCCCCTCGACCCCGAGCATACTCTCATAATCTTGTCCGCATGCTTGCAGCTTGGGAATGTGTCTCATTAGGACCTGGTCCAAGAGTATCTGTGACTTTCTGGATGTAAATCCTGCTTTGCTACTCTTACTTTCTTGGCAGGTACTGGGTCGCACATGCACGTTTTTGCCGATGAATTCTAGCAATTCCTCTCCCCCAGACAGAAACATAAAAGGCGCAATTAAAGGCCCGGACAACACCAGCATTTTTGGGACCATACTATGGATGAATAAGATCCTGCAATTGGTTCGGAGAACCCCCCCCCCCATTTGTGGCAACCCAAATACTCACTCCCCCAGTTTACGGACTGGATCTTTAAAAAAAAAAAAAAAAACATTTCCCTGGGAAGCCCTAGAGCTCTCAACTACCCTGCCCCGCCCCTTGCACCTACCTTTCTTGGGGATTCCATAAGGCTTGGTACTACTGGGTGGCTCGTTGGAAGGTTGCTGGGCTTAGGCCGACTCGCCGACCGCACAAGACTTGGTCCCTTCAGGCCGACCCCCCCGGACATCTCGCCCCTGGGCACGGGAGAGCTGCCAGGCGAGTTGGCGGCGGGTCAAGTTGGATAGGTCGGGCGTGGTTGCCCCTCCCAGCATGGCTGTGGCTCACAAAATGGTACCAACATGGCACCTTGGTAAATGGAACGAAAGACCGAAAACAGGGTAACCTTTGGTTTTTCATTTTGCACTTCCACACCTACATGGAAGTACACAAAGCCCCTTTCCAAGAGGAAAGTCGGGGTCTGTGCACTTCCATGCTAGTCGGTGGGGGGCTCGTGAGGAACCGCTGCTGCATCAGTTGTGCCCAAATAATTCAACCAGTTGTATGAGCCACATTTCCCCTTTGATCCTTATCTGGTGGTGAGGGTGACTTTTCCTATGAGCAGCAATCAGGACAATCAGGTATCCCCAAATGTGTGCTAACTTAACTGTACCTATCGAGTGATCCGGTTTTCTTGCCTGGGGATTCCTGGCTTCCGAGTTAGAGCAGTAATTTGCGCAGATGTTGCAAAGATGATTGCTCCATAATGAAGTCCTGCTGCTCTGTTGCATTTTAGGCTCGCAGGGGTACCTCAGGTATGGCTATAACTTATAGGCTATAACCCACCAAAGCTATGTGGAGGAGGGGTCCTTGCTGGGATGTGCGCCATTGGAATGTACTAGGATGTTTCGTTCGCTGCCCAGCAAACTCCAAGTAAATCTTGGCTCATCTCGTTGGTCGCATACCAAGGTGCAATTCCAGCGCTTTTAGCCCTTGTCGCCTTCGAGAACCCCTTGGTTCCCCAACTGTACTGCCTACGTTGCCTAATGTAAAGCCCGGCAACCTTGTATGAATCAAGTGGGTCCTGATTCATGGGTTCGTATGGCGCGGCGATGCGGAGCTCTGACGATGCCAGGCCGCAGCCCGGTCCAAGCCGCGGTAAGCGCCGGCGTGTTTGCGCGTGGGAGAGAGTGCTGGTGGAAACTCTTAAGGGGTCTCCCATGACTTGAGCACCTCGGTTCCCCGCGTCGCTGATGCACTGTCCAGTTCTGAATCTTGGACGACTTGTCTTCGCAGCGGGCAATGCAAGCGCCATGGCAAAGAAGTGCAAAGGGGTGTCGCAGCAGCTATGCCGTTCAACGCTCGGGTCCTGACTGCCTAAAGTGACGGATGTTGCCCAAAGTGACCTGTGGACCGTGCCGCTTGGACTTTTGGGGCGGTTTTTGCCGAGGCCCACGGCAGAAACCGGCCGCGGAAACGGGGGGAACGGCCCACTTCTTGCTCCGCCAGGATCCAGGGGAAGCTGCGCAGGTGCTAAGCCGTGCTGAGCTGGGCCGGTGGATGCCTCAGCCTTGACATCTTCGTTCCATTTTTTTTAAATATATACGAAGCCCCTCCAAAACGGCCGGCACACTTAAAAATAAAAAAAGAAAAGAAAGAAAACAAACATAAAATAACATAAACATATACGAAGCCCCTCAAAAACGGCCGGCACACATGAAACTCCACAAGAAGAATTATATGTGTGAAAGTATGCGAAAGTTATGAGACATCAAATGATGCATGATGTGGGACAAGGGCTGTGTGTGTGAGGCACTGGTCACCATTGCCCCCAACATCAGGTATGCGACAAGAGTGCCCAAAGTTATGGCTGCCCTGTGGCCTTCTTCTTTGCGAGTCACTCTCATTGAAGCGACCCGGGCAAAAGACAATCCTTCGCAATCCGTTGCTCCCTTGGCACTTGACAACTGGCGGCCGGTGGCGGACATTGTGAACCCCAGTTGCCCAGCGGATTCTGCCCTTTTGTCCTTCCCATTTTTTGTTTAATGGCCGCTGGGCATCTGAACTCAGAGCCGCTTGTCCACAGGCTGGCACGAATTGGATGTGAGGCAAGTGGAGGCAGCCAAAGAGCTGCAAGCAGCCGTGAAGGAGGGTCTGCGCCCGAAGCCAAGTCCGGGGGCTGGAGGTCAGGGCCTTTTTTGTTTTCCCCTGTTGGTTTTAAAGGGAATCTATCACTACTGAACATATGTTGTTTCCAGGTGACTTAAGCAAATGGAGGGCAAGGGGGCTGGAGGTCAGGGCTGGAGGGCAAGCGGTTTGTGTTTGGGTCCTCTTACAATTTGGGAGGGAGAGCTTTTCTGATTTCAGGAAGCACGAGGCTGCCCTGCAAGTTACTTCGAAGAATCCTGGAGAACCGGCTATCCTGCAAAGAAACCCTTCACCTTAAAGGAACTGGTTCATTTGAAGCGACAGAGCGGAAGACCTGGAAGTCAACATCAATGTCGTTTGAGGGTAGTCTTTTCAGGGTTGTCAGGACATCCGAGGCCAGGCTGCCACTTTCGGGCCTTCCCCCACTCAGAGGCAACTCATACCTTTGATAGACGTTGTTGTAGGGAAGCTGGTGCACAGCTTCAGTTTTCTAGATGCGTGCACAACACGTAGCCTTGCTTTCAGTGGCATGGCGCCTGAGAGGGAACCTGGAAGATCATTTTTCTCTTTGAAACACCCTGTTGTCAGCTGCCATGTTGGTGGATATGAGGGTAGTTGGGAGTCCACACTGTGGATGGACGAAATCCGTTTCGCACCACTTGAGAAGCCCTGGAATCATGATTCCCTTGTAAAACCCAACCAGCAATGGTTCCAACCATGGTTTCAAAGCGGTGCGAAATGGATTTCGTCCATCCACAGTACGTCCAGTGATTCCGATCCCCTTCAGAAGCAACAAGGGAAAATGGAGAAGATGTCCAGTGAAATCGATCCCCTTTAGAAGCAACAGGGAAAAAAAGAGGATGTTTTTTCCAAAAGCATTTTTCCAGCTGCCTGAAGCTGCCTGACGCTCCGAGGCCTGGCGCGGGCGCAGCCGATCACAGTACCAAGGCATGGCTCGTGGAGCGGTGCTCCCAAGCTTCGGCTCACGCCGGTTGCTACCCCGAACCTTGGAGCAGGGCTCCTTAAAAGATACATTGTGCCCATTTGAAACATGGCTTTTTCCACAAGAAAGGGAAACCACCATTTACAAGCCCATGTTCAGGTGTTCAATGTAAGGATCCCTGTTTGAAACCATGACGAAGGCACAAGGGTACAACATCCTTTTAGACTCTGGCTTCCCTTGGCCGGGCCAAAATTCGACTCGTACAGGTGCTTTGCAGAAAGGGGGGAGGTTCTCAATATCACGGTTGGGGAGACCGTAGCCATTTCGAGGGTGAGTTTGAAGATGTCAGTTTAGTGGGCACAGAAATAGCATTGTGTTGCCTTGGTATAGGGCCATAGCTTCTACTGTGGATGGGCGAAATCCTGCACCTCTGAAGAAACCCTGGAATGATGACGCCCCTGAAAATAGCAACGAACAATGGTTCCAACCATGGTTTCAAAGTGGTGCGACATGGGGCCACAGTATAAGGCGGCATACCTTACCTCACCTCGTGCAACAGAGGCCGTCATTGGTTTGGATGGAGCTGCGGCTCAACCTGAAAGTGCTAAAAGATGGGGGAAAATGAGTGAACGGCAATATCTGTTGGGTTGTTTGAAGGAGCGGTGATGTAGGCAGTATATAAGTGTACATGTATGTCTACAAATGGAGTGTAGGCAGCTTGCAAACAATATGTACATCTGTATTTTAAACATATATGATATCATATATGTATATGTGTGGATCTATGTATGAACCTTGTATGAGTGGCGCGTAACCTACGCGACTCCAATGCCCCAGAACTATGTCAAAGGTATATTCAATGAAGGCTTTCATTTTGAGGATACATTTCTCTAGCCCTGGCTCAGGGTCCTTCCAGTGGTAGGGTGGAGTCAGCCAAACCCCTGAAGCTGGCCCGCCATGACAGTGCCGGCATGGCTTCATCAGCCTCTGGCCCACGGAGGCTTCTTCACGGGCCTGGTCATTGCCCTGGACGAGTTGACGGGTGACTTCGTCCAGGTGGAGATCCAGCCTGCTGGCATTTTGGCGTTTGCCTCGGCTGCGCTTTTTGCACCACGGCAGACCGCGACCCTCTACGACTTCCACGTGCGCCAGTCATCAGATGGCACCATGTGGCTCACGCACCAAGCCTGCTCTGCATGGTTCGTCCATGAACCCACGACGCTCCACACCTATAGGTACATGAAAGAGATCTGCGCTGGCATGGGAGGCATTGGCATAGGTGCCGCCCTGGCGGGCATCACGCCCATCGCCCACCTCGAGATCAACCCCTACAGCTGCCAAGCCCTCATCAAGAACGGCGCTAGCAACGTCATTCAAGGTGACGTTCACAAGCCCGCGGACGTTGCCAAACTTCATGGAGCTGGACCTCTACGAAGGGCCATCATTAGTGCTGGCTTCCCTTGCCAACCATACTCAGCTCAAGGCGACAAGAAGGGAGATCGCGATCCCCGAAGCTGGACCTTTTTGGCCACCCTCCGAGCTGCCTGGCTCATGCAGGCCCCAGCATTGCTACTTGAATGCGTCCCTGCAGTACAAGGACATCCCTTCATCCGGGAGAACCTCAACGTGTTTGCGGACCTCATGGGCTTCCAGGTCAAGACGCTCACACTGGCGTTGCAAGATCAATGGCCATGCCGCAGAGATCGCTGGTGGGCACTGCTTGCCCCAAGGGAATTTGACCTTACCCAGCTGGTGCCCTGGGTCAAAGACGAGCACTACAGCACCATCGGTCACATCATTCCGGAGTGGCCAATTTGGGAACGACAGGACGAAGAAGCTCTTCAACTCAGCGAAGAAGAACTTCGGTACTACGACGACCCATCCTTTGGTACTGAAACTCGTCTGCTCCAGCAGACCGGAATCTGCCCCACGCTGCTCCATTCCTACGGCAACGTTTTCCAACGATGCCCCTGTGGATGCCGACAAGCGGCCTTTCATCCTGGTCGCCTTCAACGTGGCGGGGTTCGTGGATGCTACATCCACTCCTCAGTCACCGGCAAGCCGAGATTCCTTCACACGGCGGAGGCGTCCTTCTTGTGCACGGTGCCCATCCAGTACCAGTTTCCTGGTGATGCTCGTGACGGCCTGTGCCTAGTAGGCCAGATCGCTGCCCCTCTGCAAGCTCAATGGATGTGTCTTCATCTAGTCCGAGCAGTTCAACTGCACTATGATTGGGTGCCTCTGTGCATACTTCAGGATCACATCAAGAAGACCAAGCTTGACCTTCTCTGGCAGCGCCATCACCTCTGGACTACCGAGAGCTCACATGCCACTCGACACATCTGGATCAAGGACCAATGGGGCAACAACCTGCACATCCTACGTGAAGGCCAACAGGACGTCGCTGACCTGCTGCGAGCTGAAGCTCGCCTTGCAGATCCTCATGCGCACTACCAGCTCTGGGATGGATCTCGTCGAGTCCCACATGATGCAGTCCTCCAAGATCAAGGGCAACATGGACCCTACACCCTCATCGTCAACAGCCCCACCACCGTCCCCGACGATGATCGCGAGGTCGAAATCATCTTCTACACCAACACCACCGTCACCTCGGCCACACTACCACTCGGCACCTACTTGTTTCAGGCCTGTGCCGCTGGGCACATCTCACCTGCAGACACCCCACCAGTCGACCTGCAGGGACACGCCATCCCGCTCGACACCCGGCTCTGGTGCAACACCACAGTCATCTGCAGGCAACCTTTCGCCGGAGCAGGAGATTCAGATGACGGCCTCAACGATCAACAGATTTACTCGCAACTCGAACGCCTTGCTCATCTCCATGGCGAACTTGGAGGAGATCATTTCCAATGCCCATCACCACTGCTTGTGCCACATCCACTGCCAGCAGATCAGACGCTCGGCCCAGCCGCAGCACTACAACTCCAACACTTTAGCCCCACTACACCAACCACCATCATTTTTGCTTACAACGGGCACTGGGCCCTCCTCACAACCACTCCAACCACCGACGGCTTCTCAGCCACTCTCTACGATGGCATGCCTGAACC